CTGAGCGGGTCGTGAGGCCGTTGAGGAACGGCGTAGCCGTCCCCCGCAGCACCACGGCCGCAGCTAAGGAGCTAGATGAGGGCGTAGACTCCGCCCCGAAGCCCACGGCGTTCTCGGAGGTCAGCCTCCGGCAGAAGGCGCCCAGGGTCGCGGCGTCAGCCAGGGCCGAGCGCGTTGGGCGGGCGATGAGATTTTCCTCCACGATGAGATCCCGGACTCGGGCTCCGCGCCAGCGGGCAGGGGCCAGGAGGTCGGGAGGGCGGAGGAACCGGCAGCCGCCGATGATGGGGAGGTCCAGCAGCTGAGCCGTGGGGACCGCCCGGTGGTTGAGGCCCAGGATGTTGGAGGCCTCCTCCCAGAGCTTCAGCAACCGGAGACGGCGGGGCTGGAGACGGGTACCGTCCGGTGGAGGGTGGATCCAGGCTTCCCCGCTGTTGCCGCCGACCAGCCAGCTGAAGGCATTTCTGCCCCCGCGGAGCGCGACCTGCACCCCCTTGAGGCAGGCGAGCTGGAGCTGGATCGCGAGGTCGAGGAGGCCGAGGCCTCCGATGGCAACTGGCCTCGCCATGACATCGGCGGGAAGCCACGCCGTGTGGTCCTGTCCCCAGACGAATCTCGCCAGTCGGGCCTGCAGCTTGGCGATGGTCGGGGGTGATGGAAGGTATCCATGCAGGTGGTGCTGGATGACAGACCCCACCAGCGTGTTCGCCGCTCTTGCTCGCCCGACGAGGGAGAGGCCGCGGGTGAAGGGCGTCCATTTGCGGCATGCAGTCTCCAGGAGGGCCAGGAGATGCTGCTCCCGGTGGATGACGGTGCTCCTGGGGGCGATGTCGAGCCCGAGGACCCTGATGGAGGTGGTCGACCAGGAGGCGCCGAGAGGGGAGTCGCCGCGGTTGCGCCAGGCGCCGCACCAGAGGCCAGCGCTCTTCCCGAGGTTCACGTCGATTCCGGAGGCCTGCCTGTAATCTTCGAAAACGGTCGCCACCCGCTCGAAGTCTCCGTCGCGATGGAATAGGAGGACGATGTCGTCGGCGTAGGCGATGACATTGCCCACGCCGAGGGTCAACTCCAGGCGACGTAGCAGCGGTCCCGTGGCGATGCTGAAGAGTGCGGCGCTTACGGCGCAACCCTGCCTGAGGCCGTTGAGAAGGGGGAAGGCTGTTGTATGAAAGCCTCCGACCCGGATGGTGGCGTCCGCCCCGGCGTAGAGGATGTTAATCCAGGCCATGAAGGCCGGCGGGAGGCGGAGGGATGTTAGCAGGGACTCCAGGAAGCCGCGGTCCAATGAGTCAAAGGCGGACTCTAGGTCGACGCCCATGACGGCCAGCGGCGAGCCCAGGGCGGTGGCCTCCTCGATGGCGTCCGTCACCATGGCGATGTTCCATGACGGGGACCTCCCGGGGACGGCGTAGGTCTGGCATTCCGGCACAAGGGTCCGCAGGTGGGGCTTGAGGCGCCGGTGAAGGATGGCGGCCAGGACCCTGTAGTCGGCCGAGGGCAGCGCGACGGGCCTGTAGCCATCAAGGCCGCGACCTCCGCGGGCCTTGGGCACGAGGCAGATGGAGCTGCGCCACGTCGACGGAGGCAGGGCACCTCGGAGCCGTGATGCTGCGAACACCCGGGCCAGAGCTTCCGCGAAGAAGTCCTCGCTGAAGGCGACGAGGAGCTCGCACGGCAAGCCATCCCAGCCGGGGGCCTTTCCGCGAGGGAGGTGCTCGATAGCGTTGGCGATCTCGCTGGGGCTGATGTCCGGCCGGTGAAGCGGGTCCTCCTCACTCAGCTCGCGGGTGGTGGTGGGCGCGCTGCTAGCGATGAAGGCAGCTCCCGCAGCTGGATCGCTGGTGGGACGGGCGAAGCGGGGCTGGAAGGTCGCGAATGCCCTCCGCCGAAGCTCGGGGCCCTCGATGATGTTATCCTGCTCGTCCCTGATGACGCTGACCGGGCGTCGGAGGCGGATGGCGCGTGCTAGGTCCGGCAGCGATGGGTAGTCGGCCCGGATGGAGGAGGCCTCGAGCTGCGCCGCGATGTAACGTCTCGCCCTGTAGACGTAGCTGTCGTTGGCAGCGTGGCGTGGGTCGTGCAGGGATCTGGCCTCCGCCAGCAGCCCCGCCTTGATGGAGGTCCACCTATCCCAGAAGGTCCCGTCGTCGTCATCGTGCGCTGTGTCTTCCTCCAACTCCCGGATGTAACCAGCCAGATGTTCGAGAGCAAGGCCCGAGCGGAGCATCGCGGCCAAGCGAGGCTGGGTGGGGGAGGAGACGGCGGTGGTGGGCGGGCCCACCTGGAGCAGCACGAGGCGGTGGTCCGAGAGGTGGTAGTGGCTGGTCGCGTAGATGGACACGCGATCCAGGACTCCAGCAGGGACGAGGATCCGGTCCAGGCGGTTGGATTCGACTTGGTCGCCGTGCATGGAGACTCTGGTGGGCAGGTGGGCGGCGTCGAACTGGGTGGCCACGTCGACCAGCGCGGCCAGGTCCAGAAGAGCGGCGAGGGCATCCGATGATGATGATGATGAGGGGCCCCGATCCCTGATGTTAAAGTCGCCGATGATCCAACAGGCCCCCTCCTCTTCCTGTGCCGCTGTCGCCGCCAGGAGCTCCAGTTGTCGGTTTCTCTCCCGGGGTTCATGCGCCAGATGAACGGCGATGGCCGTCATTTCCTCGCCGTGGACATCTATTGTTGCCAAGGCGATGTGGCCCGGCCACAGGATACGCTGTTGTAGCACGGCTACGCCTGGTCCGAAGACGCAGGCGAGTCCGGATCCCGAGATGGCTACGGGATGGGCCAACACAACAGCACTGTAGCCGAGGCAGAGGTCTTGGCCGCTGCCTGGATGAAATGCGTTTGTCTCCTGGACAAACGCGATGTCCACGTGATGTTGCCTGAGGAGATGACAAAGGGCAAGGCTCCTCCTCCGAGTGGCGAGCCCTCGCGCGTTGATGGTGGCGACGCGGTAACTCATTGGGGCCGTCCTTCACGCAGCACCTTCCTGGTCTTCTGGAGGGTTTTGCGGATGGTGGAGTTGGAGTCTGGGCACAAGGCCTTGATGGTTTCGTGCAATTTTTCGAGGGCGGTGAACTGTTCCTCTGTTAGCGTGGGCGCTCGCCTCTTCATGGTGGTCTCAGAGGTGAGGAGCTTCTGAGCCTCCTCGCAGTTCAGGTCGGGCAGCTTGTCCCAGTCGATGGAGGGGTTGGGGGACTTCCCGAGGTGCTCCAGCAGCTGTTCGAGTGCGGCCTTTCCCCGGGCAGGCGTGGCGGGAGGTGAGGACAGCTTCTCCACCGACATCTCCTGGTCGAGCGGAGGAATGAGAGGCTCGGGGGGCCGCAGGGCAGCCAGGGGAGCAGGGTGGGCAGCAGGGGCGGGGTGGGTGAGATCAATTTGTTCGGCAGGCTGGTGTGCCGAGGGGATCGCCTGAGCCTCGGCCGAAGTCTTCGCCGGTTGGACAGGGGACGCCGGTGTTGCGGGCGCAGGTGCCGGCTTCCTTGGTCGCTGAGGAGGAGGGAGGGGGGGCCTTGCGTCGGTGGGAGACGCTGCTTGCCTGGGGCTGCCGTTCCCTTGCCTGGCGAGCGCTGGACAGTTGGCTCTGCGGTGGCCCTGTTTACCGCATTTGGAACACTTGATTCCAAAGGAGAGGAAGGCCGACAGGGTGTCTCCCTTGGAGTGGATGGTCAGACGGGTGGGCAGCGTCTCCAGCCTTACGCCCTCGGGGAGCAGGATGAACGCCTCCCGGCGGCCGTCGCTAAAGGCGAACTCCCCCATTTTGATCATGATGGGGGCGATGGAGGTGATGTCTCCGTATTCACGCAGAGCCTGCACGATGGTGGCGTCCTCTACAAAGCCGGGGAGATTGGCCACGATGATCCTTTCGGCCCTCTTGCGGAAGGGGAAGACCTTGAGGAGTGTTCCCTCGATGTTCAGGCCCTCCTCCACCAAACGGCTCGCAAGGTTCTTGCTCGCGAGGCCCACGATGTAGTGGCCGTTCATCCTGCCAAAGTGGGCGATGTTTTTGGGCCCTCCGACCAGGTCGCCGATTGCCCGGAGGTAGGAGTAGTCCGGGATGTCTGGGCACAGCTCCACGAAGACGTAGTTCTCATGGTTGGTATTGGCCTGCCTCGCCCTGGCGTCGGCGATGTTGGCGCGCGTCGCCTTGATTTCCTGGGGCGGCATTGACCTCGGCCCTGTTGTCCGCTTCTGCTGCTGGGGGCCGCGTTTCTCAGCAGGCCTGCTTGCCTGCTTTGCGGCCTGCTCAGGTGTTGAAGAGAGGCGCCTTTTCTTGCTCTTCACAACGGTGTAGTCGTCGTTGGCGTCGACCTCCGCCATCTCGCTGTCGGCCCAGTTGAGCGAGGCCGGGTCGGCTAAATTCTCGCTGGAAGAAGCAGCAGTCGGCGGCGCCGTGACGTCACCCCGCGCGGCAGCCAGCGTTCCATGCGCCTCGCGCGCCGGCGGGCTTGCATGTGTTCGATATTCCATAGAAAATTCTAGAGAAGAATTCTCTATGATTCCTTTTTTCGGCGATAACTCCTCGCCTGGTTGAGATCCAGTGCTGGGCCTTTCAGGCACTTGTTCAGCGGATCGAGAGGGTTCTTCTGGTACCAAACTCGTGATGGTAAGCGCCTTTTACACACACTCCAGAGGCGAAAATGGCGGAGCCCGCAAAAGCGTGGCCGCACGCTCGAGTGTGTGTGTGTGTGTGTGTGTGTGAAACACGCTCTGGTAAGATGCAAGACACGTCTGAGGAGAGAATCAAGGCTGAAGAGTCTGCCAAGCCGCAATTTGGTGCAACAATATATATATATATATAAAGCAATACTTAAAGTTTAACCGCATAAGTTTCTTTTATTTGTGAAAAATCAATTTTTATTTAAAGAGAAATCTGATATTTCTAACTTTTGGATGACGTATGAAAAGGTTGAATATATGAAGAGTGATGGTCTATATATGATTGGATGACGTATGGAAGGGTGAAATATGAAGAGTAATGACAAACGGAAAAATAAAAGTGTCCAGGGGCGGGAATCGAACCCACAACCTTCTGCTTACCGGGCAGATGCCATGTCCACTAGGTCATATATAGACCATCACTCTTCATATATTCAACCTTTTCATACGTCATCCAAAAGTTAGAAATATTTGATTTCTCTTTAAATAAAAATTGATTTTTCACAAATAAAAGAAACTTATGCGGTTAAACTTTAAGTATTGCTTTATAATCATACGCCGCAGTCATTTATAATATATATATATATATATATATATATATATATATATATAATAAATAGTTATTTAATTTTATAGTCCATTTTTGTATTAAGATTATCTTCACTATTATGATCATTTAAATTCAAATTATAAAATTTGTAAAATGTTATTAATTTGTAGATAGAGAGAGAAAAAAAAAAATCCTTTACTTCTACTACATCCTCAAGTTAATTATATATTTATAATTAATAACAATAAAAATTAACAAAGTAACGTCTATTACATCGGCTTTTACACGTCATTCAGACATACTCTAATCCTATATATAGAATAATCGAAGAGAGAATATATATAATAGTTAGAAAAAAGAGAGAAAGACAGAACCATGCACTTTTAATCAAACTAATAATAAGGAAAAAAAAAAAAGAGTTTTATAAAGAAGGTAGATAAGATTGTTAGTATATATATATATATATATTTTTTATGATTTTATATTTTATCCTTTTTTTTTTTTTAAAGATTTTAAAAGGTTTTTTTTATTTTATAATATGATTATAAATAGTTGTATTTAGTAATATATCTATAGTATGAATTAACATTTGTTATAAGTTTGGATTTTATGTTTTGAAACCCTAATGGTAGACCAGACATACACAAAAGACTTTAAATTGAAATGAATTGGAAAAAGAGATCTGCTGGAACGGGGATCATCAGATAAAAATTCCAGCGACATTTCACCCCTTCTTTATTATGTCATAGATCTCTTTTAAACCGGATTTTATGTGTTAATATTAAGTTGTTTCAGTGAAATATTTAAATGAACATATATAACAGATACAAGTGTTAACAAATTCAAACTGTAAACCTACCTCGGCCGCTGCGTCCTCCATTGTGAGTATCTATTTCTGGCTGACACATGTCGCGGGAGGGGAATGTCCCCCCACATTTCAAATTTAGACCATTTATTCAGAATTTTTTTGAACAACAAGAAAATTAAAGAAGAAAGGAAAAATAGTTAAAGGAAGAAAGCTAAATTGTATAATCTTTACAGCTAGTTATATCAAAATAACTGATTTAACACTTATTCATCTTTTAATATTCCTTTAAAAAGGCAAATTATAAGAGTTTAATAAAGCTATTAATTGTGCAAATTCACCTTTATTTAACTTCCATTTTCCTCCCCAGAAATTGGAGATTAAACAAAAATGAACTATATACTTTAACACTTTAAAAATCTTGTGAAAAAAATCTTTTAATCAGTTATTTAATCAAAGTTTAATTAACTGTTAAAGGTTATAAATTTGTATTAGTTAATATTAAGAGAAATTATAGAAAGTTGATTTCATAAATGGATATTTCCATTTATTTTTTTTTAAATATTTTATAATTGATATACTGTTGAAATATTTTACTTGTTTGATACTAAATTTGTTTTTAATAAATTCCATGTTTAAATTTTTAACATCTTCTATGAAATTATCTAATATATTATTTATTCTATAAAATCTTAGAAACTGACCATAATATATACCTTTACAGCAATTTAATGATATATTAGAATTCATATTACAGTATTTTATAATATTGAAATTATAATTACTCTTTTTATTATAAACTCTAACAGCACTATTTGTAAGGTCTATATTCAAGTCTAAAAAGTTAACTTTTTTGTTTCTATAAATTTTTTCATTGTTCTTAAGTTTCAAGTATTTAGGATATATTTCAGGTATTAATTTTTTAAACAGTGGATTATTAAATATTATTATGTCATCTACATATCGGAATATTTGCCAATTAATATTATTTTGTAGAAAGTATTCTCTTTCGTACCAGAACAATATTAGATTTGCTAATAACGGACTAGAGGAAGTACCCATGGGAACGCCTTCTGATTGAATATATATTTTATTTTTAAATTCTATATAGTTAAAATTTAAAAATGTTTCCAGTAGAGTTTTTGCTGTTTTAAGATCTAATTTAAATGTTTTATATCTGTTATGAATAATTTTAATGTAGAAAGTTTTGTCATTAATGAATTCATTAAATAAATTGGTTATTTTATTATTTAGATCTCTTAAATTTATTTTAGAATATAGGTCCTCAAAGTCAAATGTGTGTACTGTTTCAATGTTTGTCCAATTGTTCATTAAATAATTAATGATTTTTTTATTTGAGTCGATAAATTTATAATTATATTTATTAGTTAATTTATTTATAATAAATTGTAGTGTTGAGGCTAATTGTATATCAATATTTTTTATGACTGAATTTATACCAGATGTGATTGTTCTGAAAGAAATAGGTTTTTTGTGTAGTTTAGGAATTATATAGAACTTTGGTATGTTTGGATTTTTGTGGTTATTATAAATTTTTAGTGAATTTTCAACATTTTTGATGTCTTTTTTGATTTTTGTGCCTGTAGTTCTAGCAAAAGTGTATTTATGATTATTAACAATTTCCTTTTTTAGTATATCGTGGTATAGATTTTTACAAATTAAAGATAAATTATTGGGACATTTATCTATAGGAGTGATAATATAGTCCTTCTGTAAATTAATTATATTTTCTTTAAAAGAAGGAATGTCTGAATTGGGTTTTGTGTATTTAAGTGTATTATTATAATAATTTATAATTTCCTTTTTAATATTATGTTTCCATTCCAGAAAAGTAAATTCTGGAATACTGTATTTTATACTAGTTTTATTTATGAAAATATCTATATCTTTTAATATAGATTTAATTGTATTATTATAATTGTGTTTAATTTGAGGTATATATTTATACCCTTTATTTAAAATTTCTTGATATTCTGGATTTAAAAAAGGAAAAGTTGCTAGTTAATATATGACCTGAGAACTTATATTTATCAATATAGTTGTTGCAATTACATTTAATTTTTTTAAAATTTGCCAAATTATTAATAAATTGGTTATAATTGCAAACTAAATTACCTATATTTTTATTGTATCTCCAGATTGTTTTAAAATTTAAATTTTTTATAGGGAAAAGATTATTGATGATTTGGTTATTAAAAATATCATTAAATTTAATATGATTAAATATATTGTTATTAAATTTAATGATAATATTAATGTTATTAGTAGTTTGTTTAATTTTTCTGTATTTAAAGATGTCGTGTGTGATATCTATTAATCTGTTAGTCAGATTATGAATTTTAATGTATTCTATGAGTTTGATAAATTTATTATTATTTAGTTTAAATAATGTTTTAATAAATTTATCGACGAAGTTGTTAGTGTACATTTGTTTTGGGTCCAGTAATTCTTCAAATTCAATGTAACCTAATTTATTTGTAGTTTTACCTCTAGTTTTATTAGGTTTAGTTTTAAATTCATTTTTTTTGTATTTGCAACTGATTTCATAGGTTGAAATTTCTTCTGTTTGTGGTTTGTATGTGTAGTTTAATTCGTCGTTAAGTCCATAAGGGAATAATGTGTTGTGTTTATAAATGTAGTTGTTTTCTAATAATAGTCGTTGTTTTTTGTTTTGACATATGTCTAGTATTTCTATCTTAAAGTTGTTAAAAGTATGTAATTGATTGTGTTCTTTCATATATATATATTACCAATTGATTTTTTAGCGTGGTTTCTATGTAGGTTTATTCGTATATTTAATGGATTACAAGTTTGTCCTATATATGATAGTTGACAAATTTGGCATGTTAATTTATAAATAGTATTCACTAATTTACAACTAGTTGTTTGAAAAGTGTCATGGTTCTTAAGAGAGGGACAAGTTTGACAATTTTTTCTTAGGCAATTCTTAGCGAGTTTAAATTAACATAAAAGAGGTGCTAACACTAATATGTTTGTAGTTTTTTTTAGTTTTTTTAGTTTGTTATTCTTATGAATTTTTAAATATATTTTACTTAATTGTTTTTGTGGTGATAAAATTTGTAATAAATTGAATAATTAATCTATAAATATATAGATATTACTGTTTGTTATCTGTTATATTTTTAAGAATAACTAATAAAAAAAAACATCTTTAAACTAACTAAACAATGAAAAAAAACAAAAGTTCTGAAATTATTTTTTCTAGAATTACTTTTATAATTTAATTTTTAATAATCAAACAATGAAAGATAATTAAAATTTGTATGAAGATTTATTTATATTAGAATATCTAATATAATTTAATTTGTATATTATGTTATATATAAAAAATATATCATAGAGCAAGCTCATATGAATTAATATAGTGTAGAAACTATATAACAAAATTAAAACAGTGATTCTAATTTTAAAACTTAAGGAGCAAACTGATAATAATGATAACTTATATCAGTTAGATTTGATTAGATTAGCAAGCTAAATCTAAATTAATTATAATAATAAATAGTTATTTAATTTTATAGTCCATTTTTGTATTAAGATTATCTTCACTATTATGATCATTTAAATTCAAATTATAAAATTTGTAAAATGTTATTAATTTGTAGATAGAGAGAGAAAAAAAAAATCCTTTACTTCTACTACATCCTCAAGTTAATTATATATTTATAATTAATAACAATAAAAATTAACAAAGTAACGTCTATTACATCGGCTTTTACACGTCATTCAGACATACTCTAATCCTATATATAGAATAATCGAAGAGAGAATATATATAATAGTTAGAAAAAAGAGAGAAAGACAGAACCATGCACTTTTAATCAAACTAATAATAAGGGAAAAAAAAAAAAGAGTTTTATAAAGAAGGTAGATAAGATTGTTAGTATATATATATATATATATATTTTTTATGATTTTATATTTTATCCTTTTTTTTTTTTAAAAGATTTTTAAAGGTTTTTTTATTTTATAATATGATTATAAATAGTTGTATTTAGTAATATATCTATAGTATGAATT